TGGGTTTGCTGGAACCACAAGCAGTTCTGTCTTGGCAAGGTTGAGTTGAAGGTGATGGTCCTTCATCCAGCAAGAAATGTCTGTTAGACAAGCTGAGATGCGAGCAGCTATCGTCGGATCATCAGGAGAATGAGAGAGGTAGAGTTGAGTGTCATCAGCATAGCAGTGATATGAAAAGCCATGTTTCTGAATGACAGAACCTAGTGATGTCATGTAGACAGAGAAGAGAAGTGGTTTAAGACCTGAGCCCTGAGGCACCCCAGTAGTTAGATGTTGCGACTTGGACACCTCACCTCTCCAAGATACCTTGAAGGATCTATCTGAGAGGTAAGAATGAAACCACTGGAGTGCGGTTCCTGAGATGCCCTTTGCCAACAGGGTTGACAGGAGGATCTGGTGGTTAACCATGTCAAAAGCAGTGGACAGATCCAGCAAGATAAGTATTGAAGATTTGGAATCCACTCTTGCCTGTCTTAGGGCTTCAACAACTGAGAGCAAGGCAGTCCTGGTTGAATGTGCACTTCTGAAACCAGACTGGTTGCTGTCGAGGGGGTTGTTCTGTGCCAGAAAGGCAGAGACTTGGTTGAACACAGCTCGTTCAAGTGTTTAAATATAATATTAAAAAATATTTATAAAAAATATATACACATTTTCTTTCGTTTTAATTTCTTTAATCCTGCAATGTATTTCCTATTTTTAAATTTTGCTTAAAGTATTATCTTTAAATTTATATACTGTGTATCAAAAAATTAAGTATTTTAGTTTTTTTATTAATTTTTTTCCCCATTTGTTCCAGTTTAATAAGAATTATATAAAAATTATTACTTCCATTTTTATTAAGCAACTTCACAAAATTTCTCTAAAAAATAAGACGTAATATCTTAGATTTATACATTTTGGCATATACATTTCATCCAAAGTGACTTAAATTGCATTAAAGGTATACATGTCCTCCATTCTTTGGTAATCAAATACTAAGTAGGAAATGATGCGTGTTTTTAGGGAAGAGTAACCCATACTGTGAGCTAACCATGGGCGCTCAGTGCTACACGTCCCGCCATCAGCCCGACACGCTCAACCCCAAATGGAACTTCAACTGCCACTTCTTCATCAAAGACCTGTATCAGGATGTCTTCTGCCTCACCATCTTTGAGAGGGACCAGTTCTCTCCTGACGGTGGGCTTCTATGTGGCACCACACACACAAAATATACATACACAAAAACATATGTATTTTTCAACAAATTGTGCTTTCAATACAGATTTTCTAGGTCGTACTGAAGTTCCTGTAGCAACAATAAAGAAGGATCAAGATGGTAAAGGTCCACTGGCAAGGCGTCTGCTGCTTCATGAAGTTCCAACTGGAGAGGTCAAAGTGCGGCTTGACCTGCAGCTCTATGATCAAACACCTCACCCGTGAACTCCACATCTGTTTCATTAGCACTACAACATTTAATAGATCACTTAATAAAAGTTTATTCATTAATGTTCATTTTTAAAAGTATAGGAATGCCTCTGTACACTTTTGATATGAAAAAGGTGAACCACTTAGCATAAGTTTACATGCAGTGAAATAGAAGCTGGTAGTCTCATATCTACTCCCACACATGCTTGATGTTGTGTAATGGGGAACATTGGGTATTATCATGATGATTTGTTTGGGACAGGAACTGGTTTGTACTTTGAAATTTGTAAATTTTTAAAGTGCATTAGTAATCTGAACATATTCTACTTTTCGGCTGTTTCCTTCAAACAAAATTCCTTTGATTTGGTTTTCTAATCTGTTAAATGTGCCTTACTTTTCCTTTCATTCTTTAAAAGCCAGGGATTGCTACAATAGTTGAGACAGCTCTGAAATACACTGCTCAGCATTATCAGTCACCGGCAGCCTTTAATGGATTTTATTGTACTGTACTGCCTTAATCCGAACACATTATGTACTGCAGCTTCCTAAGTATAAATAGACTCAAATTATGTCACTGAAATTGCTGAAATTCAGTCATTTGTAGATTCCACTAAGCCAATCATACATGTGCTTCCCCAACCTGTTTCCAGAGCCCTTCAGCGCATGTTTAATTGTTTTATTATTAAATACTGAAACACAGTTTTAAAAACACTGTAATATATTTAATTATATAAAGACCAAATTATATATAATGTTATCCGAAATTGTGTGACAACACAAATTATGCTTTCCATTCCTAATTGTACAAATTTAGGGAAGATTTATAAATTCTTTAAGAATGTATAATATGGGTCTTATATGGTTTTCCTTTGATGATTTTAATAACAGCATTTGGCTTTATGAACAGACTGGATCTGGATGTTGTACATTTGAGTTGTTGATGATGAATGTCAAAAGTTTGTGTTATTTGTTCTTTGTTTTGTTATTTGTTTAATGCATAATTGTATAAACATCTATAGGAATAGATTATTGTATGGGTTTGGGCACAATTCATATACACCAAAGACAAAAATAAAAACGGAGAATGTTAACAATGCTTATCATAAAATAACTGTTTTCTACTTTTTGTTTGTTTTGATATTTTCTCTATACATTTATTTTCTTTTTATTTCACATAATTAAAAAAGAATTATGAAAAAACATTTCAAAAAAGTGGAACCATAAAAGATTCTGTAGTGTGAACTATTCTTAATATATTTTCTTCAACATGGCTCTAACTACATTTGATTGTCAAAATCTGATCACCTAACAGCTTTCAGATATTGCAGAACAGAATATTCATTGTTCAATAAGCACTAGACACATTACACACTGTACACCTCATTATTTATTGCACTTTAATGGTATAACAAGCACCATTCTCAGTAATGGAAAACCCGTGTGTATATACAATCTCATGTCAATAAGGCCCTAATGAACGCTGTCATCAACAACAGGACCAGCACTGAGGGAGGAAGCACCGTCCCTCTGCCAAAGCCGAATGTGGAGTGCATGTACTCCTGAACAGCGAGAAATGACCTCAGTATTACTGAAACGGAATGACTGACACAAAAGCAGCTCAACATTGAGCTTGAAGCAAGTACCTTGATTTAAACAGACTGCGGTTCTCCCAAAGTCTCTCTGAGGCAGTATCTCTGGAGGCTTTGGCCTGTGACTGTTTACGGCTCTGTTGGGAAACAGGTGGACTCTGGAGATGTTCCTCCACCTGTTGCCGGCGATATACATGACCTAGAATACACAGTTTAAAGGTAATAACAAAAGCCATTTTGTTTACCTCATGTGTTTCAATGAATTCCCCCTCAAAGAAAACCCCAAAGCAGTTTAATAGCCTGATCTTGAATAACAGCAAAGAGATTTGTAAAACTAATTATTAGTTGACAGCACCTGTTTGGCAGCGAAGTATTGCTGTCTTTTCCTTAATCCTGGCTCGTGACTGAAGAGACAGCGGATCCTCCAATGTTGGGGTGGAAATCTGCACCAAAAAACAAAAGTTTTTTAATCCTTCACTAAATCAATTGCATACCATTGTTAATGCATTTTGTTTAGTTGTTTAACTATTAACATTAAAAAGAAGATGATATGACTCACTTTGCGATGATGTGGTGTGTTGAAATGGTGCTCGAAGGGGTTGTACTCCAGAGGATCATAACTCTCTAGAAATACAAAACCCTGAAAACACAATATACATTTTAGTTATTAGGGAGGTTTTGGAAATACTGCAGTTTTCCATAATTTTCATGTGTTGTGATCATAAAAAATTGATCATTGTTTATTGACAGAGTTATTCCATGACAGTAATAGGCTTAGTAATAATCTTTGCTGAAGTGTGCTGAACTCAAAAATATGCAGTTACTGTACTGTATGTGTTTAACCTAAGATATATTATATTAAAACTATGTTTTTATGAGTATTTTAAAAGGACCATTTTTAGCATTTTTATCTGTAATTATAGAAATTATATGTAAAAAATATAATATTTCTCAAATTGCAACGACACCAAAACTTTGCCATGATAAAGTGTATTCATCTTCTCATGCACCAGTGTTGGGGAAAGTTACTTTTAAAAGTAATCCATTACGATATTGTGTTACTCTATTAAAAAAAAAGTAACTAATTGCATTACTTTAATGGCAAGTAATGCATTACATTACTTTTGCATTACTTATTGTCACCTGAGCTGGGACTGCTTATGAACAAAAAAACAAGAAGTTATATTTTTGGCAACTGTAAAGGCCCTCACACACACACACACACAAAATTAATAAGCGTTAGCCTGAAGGAACTGCCTCTGTCTCTGCACCTCACTCCTAATTTCTCTCAATACGGGCACAGAAGAGGTGTCAGTTAATAAATGGGAATACAAAGTACCTTGCATTACTTCTTTAAAAAATAAATAATGCGCTACTTGAAAAAGTAATCTGATTACATAACTCACGTTACTTGTAATGCGTTATTCACGCTGTCAACCAAGTTTTTTATTCATGCTTGATACGATTAATCAAGTTTAACATATCTGCCTTGTAACAAGAAAATAGACAGAATTATTTTTTTCTACTATAACAAAAAGTAATATTATTGATATTTATATTGTTAACTGCATTTCTGTACTTTAAAAGCTACATTTTGAAAATTCTCTAATTAAGGGTTACTATGAAATGGCAGAGTGTATTGATTTTTCTATTTTGTTCTGTAACTTAAGTATCTTAATGTTACAGTGCATTGCTACTGTAACAGTATGGTTATTCTAATTGCTTCTAATACTGTACCTGTACCTTAGCATTACAGTAGTTAATGTAGTGTGCATGCATGCTCCTCATCTTCTGTGTCTCAGTGTAGCCATGGCGTGTAAAATGTTGCTCAATGCTCTGCTGTACCGGCAGCCACACATTCTGTGTCCAGCGCTTATGGAGCAGTTTACGTTTCCTCAGGTCCAGTGTGCCTCTGTGAGTAAGGTAGTGATCCAGATTCTGTACTGACACACACAAACACAAACACAAATTATTCTGAGGTAACAGAAAGATTCAAGTCTGAAAGGCCACCAAAAATATTACCTTTATGAATCCAGCCTCAGTCTCCAGCAGCGGCTGTATAATGGCATCAACTTCTTGCTGTTCGGAGTGTAATTGTTCCTGCGGTTGAACAGACAGTAAGTGGAGTGAGTGCGCAACATTTATTTAATACATAGTGTGTTTATATGCAAGTGTGGGTGTACCTGTAATTGTTTTTTGGAGCTGGGAGAAAGGGTGTGTTGCGTGTCATCTGCAGTCTCTGTTTGTGTCATCATGCTGGTTTGTTGGTGCCTTATTCTCTTTCTTAATTAATTTCCTGTCTGACTGACGTTCATCAGTTCACTGATGACAGAGGTTTGTAAACACTATGGGCACAAGAGCGATAACACTGACATATGCATAGGTTTATGGCAGTGCTGGAAATCATTTTATATATGTGAACCTGGACAAAAAAAAAAAGAGTCAATTTTTTAATGGTCAAATTTTTTTTTAAATTGAGATTTATACATCATGTGAAATCTGAAATCTCATCTGAAAAATGGTTTGTTAGGATATTTGTCTGAGATACGACTATTTGAAAATCTGGAATCTGAGGGTGCAAAAAAATAAAAATATTGAGAAAATTGCCTTTAAAGTTATCCAAATGAAGTTCTTAGCAATGCATATTACTAATCAAAAATTAAGTTTTGATATATTTACGGTAGGAAATTTACAAAATATATTCATGGAACATGATCTTTACTTAATAACAATGAATGATTATTGGCATAAAAGAAAAATCGATAATTTTAACCCATACTATATATTTTTGGCTATTGCTACAAATATACCCGTGCGACTTATGACTGGTTTTGTGCTCCAGGGTCACATATGCTAAAACAGTCTGATGTTCTCAAGCCACAATTATTATTCATCAAAATACATGCAAAACATATAAATAGTTGATTTCTGTTCTAAAAGCCAATAATATTCTGCTGAATATGCTGTTTAACCCTTTAAAGCCAACTGAATCATATTTGATTTCAAAACTTTGCTGAAAAACTTGTACACAATCTACTACATGCCTTCTGATTGATACTGTTTATACTACAGTATATGAGCTATAAAATCCTGCATTAAATATGACAGAAAAAACACATATGCAAACTTTTTTAATAGATGTCAAATTTCTAAATAAAATGTTCCAATAAAAATAGACTTTTCTCAGTATTATTTTATATGTCAGGCTTTACAGGGTTAATGAGCATCTCAATATTTCCTCTCTAATGTGCTGACACAATGACTAATATTAAATATGTTAGAAATCAAATATCTATTTGGAACAACAACACTCGATTTACTGCTACTGTAAAGCTTAATTTGATTTAAACAAGTATTGTCTCTTGTGTTGCTAAATATAATAAGGCTGTGACACCATGGGTCGAGTCTTGTTGCACTTGTTGAGTGTAACCTGAAGTGCAGCATCTAATTCCCCAGGGGTTTCAGCACAGAACACCCTGACGCCTCTCTGTACATGCAGGGAAGAAAGAAAAGGTATCCATGCATGAAGTCCTGAGCAGTACAGTGCTGAAAGACTCCGCCTGGCAGGACCATCCATACATCATTTGTATAATCTGTATAATACTTGTATAATTTATTCATTTCTTTTTTCTTTTTATTTTGATTGATGGCAGCTGAACAACAAAAAACATACCTCTTCAGGCACTTTATGCATTTTTTAGTGCCTTCAGAGCAATGACCACGTAAACAATGCATTACCCTAGACCAGGGGTAGGCAAGTTCGGTCCTAGAGAGCCGCAGTACTGCAGAAGTTAGCTTGTTCAGGTGTGTCTGATTAGGGTTGGAGCTGAACTCTGCAGGACTACGGCTCTCTAGGACCGAACTTGCCTACCCCTGCCCTAGACACACCAACAAATGTAAATAATGAATCTTGAAAATAGTTCGACAAGTTAATAATGTTCACAGGAACTTGTATTCAGACAAATTGACCAAGGCGTCAAATGTTTAATTAGTAAGGTTTGTGATAACGGTGGATTCGCATTGATCGAAACAAACCACATCATTATGTTACGACATTGTAAGGCAAACTGATTAATAAATTAATAAAGTGCCTGAACCAGAAGGTGCGAACCCGGTTTGTGGCTGCCAAATGTATTAAAAC